AAAAATGTATTTAAATATAATAGTTTTTAGTACAAGTCTTAAGTAGTAAAATTTAAATATTAGCTTCGATGCGTAGTTGAGAAGATATTTATTTTATTCAGCCATGTATAACTTATTAAAATACCTTTAAACCCATTATTGTGACATCTCAGATTTTGGATATAAACTACAGAATCAATGCTAACTAGTATTACTGTATTTGACAAGAAATGCTATTTGTATAATGGACACGGACGAACTATACGTATACCAGTACGAGATGCATCTGCTTGTAACTCAATGAGTACTTGTCCTAAAATTGATATTGACACCACATCAGCCTCTTTAGTAAGAGTAGAGCTAAAAAATGGCTATTTTAAAATAAAAAAAAATTTTAATTAACATTTTATTCTTATTAGAGATTGATTATAAGGAATTTGTTTTTTATTTATTACAAGAGGCAATAATTATTTAAAAAAAATTAAACTAAACATCATCTATATCTTTGTTTTGTTAAAATCAATAAAATTAATATAATAATTATAATTAAATTAAACTATTAAATTAACAATTAAATTAATATGGGCAACGATGGTTTATTTAATGTTTTTTTAGAATTGTTATAATAATAAATGTGTTGTGGTAGTGGTANCAACGATGGTTTATTTAATGTTTTTTTAGAATTGTTATAATAATAAATGTGTTGTGGTAGTGGTAAGGCAACAACAACGAGATTTACTTAACTAAATTTAATTAAATTAAATTAAAATAAAACTTAAATTTAAGGAATAATAATATCAAAGATTAAACGCAACAATTTTCCTATCCAACAGAAACAATATATATTACGACTGTGATAATAATAATACACGTCCGTAGATATGTGACCGTGAAAACGCTAATCTCAGACTGATCCGGACCAGCGACCTGTATTTATGTCAACGCCGCCGATCATAGATAAGTCATAAGACATTTAGGGTTTTTTTAAATGGGTGATTAAGGAAAGCGAACATAGTAATTTTTCTATAATAAGTATAAAAGGTTACTAAAAAGGTAAAACCTAGCCTTACGTCTGACGGATATACACAAAACAGATATAGTTTCCTATCGTTCTTATTTATTATATATATTTAGTAACGATCTACGATACTAGACTATATAACTGTATATGCAGACTACGAGTTCGAAAACTGGCTTGTCTATGGAAATAACCCTTAAAAATATATTAAAATTGAAACACACTTGTGTTTCCAGTATTATCCTCTAACTCAGCTACTTATACGTTTCCAAAAATGTAAGAACTAGCCTTACGAATGCTGAATACTATTTCCACAGAAAAATTTTATTTAAAAAAAGTCAATTATAGTATAAAAAATTAATCCTTTCATATAGACAGGATTTATCGTTGAGCACTAAATTAGTCCTAAAATAATTTATTTCTATTTTGCTGAGAATTATTTAATTTTTGATTGATAATAGGTTAAATATTTTTAGGTCCATCACTTGTCCCTTATTTTGTTTATTAAAAGACTATTTGCTGAATGCAACATTATTTATACTTTTCAGGAGAGCCAGAAACACAATTTTGTGTTTTTTTATTTTTAAAATAGTATCATTTTTGTAGTTTTATAAATAGCCCTTCAATTATTGTTTTTATATATACGTGTTATATTAATCATTGATAAATTTCTATAGTTTAGTTTTTGGCGTATACGTCAAAATTTTAAAAAATAATAACGCTTAACACAAAAATTGTAACACTCAATTTAATAGGAATAGGCCTACATCATATTTGGTAGGTATAGTTTTTAGGTATTTTTTCAATACATTTTATCAACGTATTACCGTCTCTACATAGGTTTTTGTTAAATAATTAACAAAACTTTTATAAGTAGAAAAAGTATCATTTTCAGAAAAACAATCAATTTATCGCATGAATTTCGAAAGTTCATGCTTCTTCAACCTTACCTAAAAATACGCTCCTCAGGTAGTATAACAAATATGCAACTAAAAATAAAAAAATATATTTATTTGCATTCTTCTTAATAACCATATATACCTTGTGTTGTATAAAACTGTCTATCAGAACTTAACATAATATGAATGGCCCACTGCAGAAACCAGACATGTCCAAAAAATCAAAATTACTTTTATCATATTTTTAGAAACTAGAGACATAGACACATCTTTTACTGCAACAGCCAGACATCTACCATTGTTAGTATAGGAGTAAAGCCAGGTTAAAATTTACTCTTAACTGCAGATATCAGACATGTCCAGGACATGTCTGATATCTGCAATTAACTCTATGGTTTGAGTGGCTGTTGTTTACTCTCTGTACTGCCAACTCAGTGTATGATAGCACCTGAAAAAACGTACCCAACAGCTGATTTTGTTTTTATTTTTATTTTATTTGGACCTCGCTTCCCCGTTTCCAACATCACTGTGCGTAGTCTGTTTACTTGTTGTCAACTATTAACCTACATCTCATTTCACTGCGTAATTTATTCAGTAAGATGAGTAATTTAGAAGGTGATGTTGATAATGAATCTCGTAAAAGAAAGAAAGGGGTTTTGAATACAGAATGCTATAAAAGGAATATTATAAAAACAGCAAAAGTTAAAGGTGATGAACATGTTAACTGGGCTGGAAGAAATATTCAAGCAAAGCAACCTAGCACAACAAATTGCGGGTAAGACATTTTTTATTTTATATATAGGCCTACTAAAATAACACTTAGAACAAGCATGTTTTTTTAACAAGAACATTGTAAAAACATTATTAATTCAGCTTTTTAGAGAAAACTGAAGTGTTTTAACCAATAGCCTAGCCAAGTTTTTATTCCAACCTAATCTAATTGAACTAACCCAACATAACCTAACACAGCATGCTTTACATCAAACCAATATAAATAGTTTATTATGT